CTTTGTTTGTTCTCTTTGATCACACAAAGAGTTGTTCATTGAGGAAATAGAACCCGCGACATGAGGGTCACCGCGTCAACTGCGACTTCTACCGGTGCTACTGCGGAATAATGTTGCTAGCGATATAGTATTACGTACGATGCTTCGGTACTACGAAGCTATGTAGTGTGCCGATGTTATAGTACTAGAATGCTACAGTGTCTTAATACTACGATACGATAGTAGTGTTGGTAAGATGTGACAGTGCTACGATGGCTTTTGGTGCTACGAGTGTTGCTATGCTTCAATGCTACGATATTACGAGACCGCGATGCGCTGGGCTACGATGTTACGATGCTACGAACTTATAATGCAGTGATGCTACGGCGCTACGTCGCTACGGTGTACTTGCTTGATTCGTGTTTGCTGTTTTCACAGGCATTCATTTAAAGACAAAATAAATTGAAAAATTATTTATTTTATTAGCTGACGTACTGAAAAGATCAAATTAAATGCGCCCGCAATATAAATGTGAAGAGATATGAGTGTGTTGTGTGTACAGTATTGCAATAAAGTATGTCGAGCTGCAGCTGCAGCGGACCCACACTAAGCTCGCGGTCGCGCCCGGGGTGCGCGGTCTGTTACAAGAAAGCGCACTCAATGGCTCGCGCCGCCATTACAGCGCGGTACGTGTCGTTCTGTCGACATCAATACCAGATACAAGCAATGCTTGTCTGCTCAGTTACCGCTGTACAAAATATCTGTGCGAGACACGGTTTGAGTATACATAATATGCCGTAGGGTATAGGAGAAGTGTGGGAGAGCCATGCTTCAGCAAGAATGCGTTGGCTCGACCGGAATGATACCACGGCCTCACAGAAAACCGATGTGAAGCAACAATTACGTTGTATTTCTTCGTGTGAATTAAGTTACCTTAGGCCCAATTCTTGCTCCCCCATCCTCTATCCTTAAATCTCTAATAACCCCCGAGAGGCCGGCAACGCACTTACACTTAACTCCTTTGGTACAACAAGTGTCCATGGGTGATTGCTTACCATCAGGTAATCCGTCTGCTCGTTTGCCGACCTATATTATATAAAAAAAAGATTTGATAGAAATAATAGAATAGGCGTTTGGAGCTGTAGGTAGACCGGCAGGCTAACATGTTGCCGACTATACCAGGACTAGTATGATGGTCCTCAGATTGGAATAAAACATCAAATATAAGTACAAGCTATAATGAGGTAAACACAAGCCTTGCTCTGCGCGGGTGATAGATGGCACGGAAGAGCCACCAACCACCAAGGTTTACCATTTTTGGACATTCAAGAAAGATAAATTTCGTTTCCCTTATGTTGCTGTGGTTGTCGGGTCCATTCGTAGGAAACTTTTGTTAATATTCTTGAATTTCTAACAAAAGGTCTAAATAAAAGTAATTATGTATCACTACGCCAATACTAATTCACTAAATATAAACATATCATATTTAGGCTTAGTGGCCTGCATGTTTTTCTATTATTTGATTGCGGTTTGTGTTTCGGCTATTATTCGACTGCAAATATGAAAAACTGCAATAAACATATATCACGGGTGAGACAGCAATTGTTGAGATAGCAATAAATTAAACTATGAATCATTATAATACCATAAATATGGAGGGCAATAACCACCATATTTGTTTTTGTTGTACAACGATACCATTGTGGGATCATCCACAGATCAATATTAATCAAGCGCAATAATGTACTACAACCCCGGCCCGCAGGAGAAAGAGGTTCTTAGTCAGATAGAGTCTGACACTCCCTTTTGTCTACCTATTGTAACCACTCAACATAAAACATCCATATCAATTCAAATCTTTGCAAAACTATGAAATAAATAAACACAATTAAGAATCTCGTATATTTACGCTATACAGTAGCAGCTGGTATTAAACTAATAAGAAACTCAAACAGCAATGCATACATAAAGAAACATTAAAATGTTTATTTTAAAGCTCGACTACAGAAACATTTTAATTTATATCTCGCTGCGGTAAGTGTATTGTACTTACTGTTTAATGCAAACAACATATTTGTGCACTCCGTGTAGCCCGGTGAGGCTGATTGCACACAGATTTTTAAAATGAAAAGATTGATGATACATACAGAATCTTTAGAAAGTAATATAATTTGAACATTTTCAATGACGTTCGTAGCCGCTACGGCGGCGTAGTAGCTTCAGCATTCGTAACCGCTACGGCGTAGCAACTCCGTATGTCTCATGCGGCAAAGAGAGAATTGCGCAAAATGTATGAGATTGCTTTAGCTAATTTAAACTCATCTCACACCAAAGCTTTCAACAATAAAGCGGTTGACCATAATTCTACCAAAAGAAACCGTATCATAATTAGATCAATTTTATTCGTAGTCACGTAGAACAAAAGTGAATACTTAGTTTCTCGCAAGAGCGGGCGCGCGCCGTCCGCCCCATTGGCGACCAATCCTGCGCGATAATACGAGCGAGTGCTGAGCTGTGCCTAGCCTGGGATGTGCTGACGAGACGCTGGGAACTTGATGACACGGCGGGAATCACTCATTACTGGCAGGGAGCGGTGCTTGTGTGGTACAGTCAGCATTACATCGATGGTTACACATCATTATACAACTACAATAGTTCGTTGCTTTCTCACAGAGTATCAGGTCACAGCAATATCGGGATGTTTGCATTGTGCAGAAGACAGAGCGAATCAAATCAAAATAATTTATTTGTTGAACATAGGTAGATACTTATTTAGTTACAGATAATGTTGTACTCTTAATTGAACGCTATGTCAAGCCGTCACCGGCATACAAATACTATTTTACAAACAAAAAAAATACACTTAAATACCAGATAAAATTAATATAATTATGCCACCCGTTTGTAAGGAGCTAGTATTTTGTACAATATCATTTCACGTTTATTTTGTATCATATCTTTTTTTCAGTGGTTGGTCTGTATCGATGCAAGTAAAAAGGGTAATTGAAGTGATAGCCACTATAAACTTACTCCGGACACGTAGCGTGGGGTACTTATAGGCTGATAATGATGATGAAATGATTACTTAAATAGAAATGCCATTAGTTAAGGTTTTAATATAAAATTGAGTTAAATTTATGGTTATACATATAAGCGGCTTCGTCGGCTGTGTGCGTGCTGTCATTTGTTTGTCAGTGAACCACCACGATCGCAATGCTTGCTGTTTCCCGATTCTCTCATCTCCTTTACTTACTTTTTCTTTTATTATAAAACCTTTTCCGGACTTGAGTAAACTCAGAATAGAAATAACTATCGAAATCGGTCTAACCGTTCACGCGAGATGCCATTACCAAAGGAAATTGGCATTACTTTTTACACAATACATAGTAAACACCGGAAACTGGTTTTTGTATTAACATTTTATAGCTATTGCTTGTTTATTGTATTCAATAAGTAAATAAAAATACGCTCTGTTTATAGTGTAGCCTGCGAGTAATGCTAAGTGCGCACCGCTGTGCGCTGGTGCTAATTGGCAGTAAGTTAATTTCAGGTAAACAGTGTTTGGTTAAATAGTTTCTTGATAACGGGCCTTAGGAATCGTCGTGCACGGAGTACGTCGTACATGTGACTTGCGTACAGTTTCTATAAATATTACGTTACTTTTAATATACTAATTAACATATTGCCATACATCGAAGATTTGAAAGAAATCTTTAAAACACTGAGTAGAACACATCCCGACCCTGGGGACCGACCGTTGCTCTCACTGGACCAAAGAAGGAAGGTAGTGCTGTGAGGTCGTAAATATAGACCGGCGGCGGCAGTAGAGGCGGCGCCATAAACCCCGACAATCACTTACTGCACGCGTGCTGGCCGCGGCACAATCCCGCGGAGTGCTGGCGCTGTCCGTCACGCCGCCGTCACGCCTCACGCTCCACTTGTTCAGGTTTACTGCCGTCTTCGCGTCTCTTTACTACGTGTCCACGTTCCTCAGTACACTGCAGCCTTACGTTTGATTCTATCAATATTTCTAAGTGTAACTTTTATCCATTTAAATCGTCAATTAATTGTATCCGATACTTGCTATGTTGCGTATCATTAAGCAGTAATCTAACATGTCACCATATAGCTGTATAATATTCAATGAGTGTATTTTAAGATGTGGATATTGAATGCAAGATTTCGTTAGTTGAGTTGGTAACGTTACACGCGGTTGAAGTAATAATGGCAAAGAACTATTATCTGGTACTACATATACCTATGTAGGTACTCATGAGCCTTCATTGCACATTCTTATAGGTAATTATATTTTATTGTAACAAATACTACTACTATTCGTTTGTTTCTGGTGGATTGTATGTATGTGCATGAGTCTGTAGAGTTTGTGTGGTCAGCGTATATGCTGTATATATGATTGGAACAGTGTGTGTGTGTGTGTTGGTGTGTAACGCGGCACTTATAATATTGAGCTCGCGCTATGTATCGGTATCAATCACTCAGCGCTGTGCACACACCTACCGCAAATGTTTGCGTACACGGCGCGCCGACACTATCGCCATGTACCGCGTGCTTTGATTGCTACGCATTCGGCTGCGGCGACACCGCTCGCCTCGCTCCTTCGATGTATCGGAAAATTATCTACTTAGTATGTGTGTGTGTAGTGTTGCTTTCTGTCAGATTGTCTGTTGTTTGTTGATGATATTACCCTGGCCGCGTGTAGGGGGCGCCACGGCAAATACATCTCGCATATTATTGTGTGCCGCGCGGATTGCATGTTCTCTACAGGGTTATATTTGTGTTGTTACTCTTTGTGGATATTGTTGGAGTTCCGGCTAATCTGCGTTATAATATTGCGTGGGTACTTCGCGGAAGGAATTAAAATAAATAAAACTAGATTCGGCTTCCGAATAAACTTTTATTGGACAAACGTGAACTTCTCGCGAAGCCGTATAGTACAATGTACATCAACTCGACTAGTAAATACAATTAATTAACTAACTAGCAGTACATACAGTTACTTGATGACACTTAGAGTTACAGCGGCGACAGCCGCCACACAATATATTAAACGTCGTAAAAATAAATGTCTTAATGTAAATATATTTGATAAAAATTTCGTTTACACTAGAAGGTGACATAGTAACGACTACAATTTGTACGAGTATTGTTTGGTAGCGGAGCGCGGGACTCACAAACTGCTGATAAACATTGCACGGCGCAACAACGCGTCACGCGTGTGGCGCGGGCGACAACGGAGGCAGCAAGCTATAGGAACTCCACCGACAACGAGAATGCGTCCCACTGGTTGGAAGTGAAACGGATTGCACGTCGCTCTATACTCTGTGGTCTAACTATTGAAAATAAAAATGGCGCGCATTTTACATACATTAAATATTCAAGTGATACCACAGAGCAAAACAAATATGTTTATCTTCAGTAATTTATGATAACTATATAACAAAACCTTATCTACAATAATAACAATGTCCAGTGCGATGCAGTGTGACTGATACAAGCGTTAGTTCAGAGCACGCTCATGAAGAGACCTATGAAGCACTGGTACATGAAGACACGCTAGACACAGTGACGTGGACAGACAGACAGATGTACCTAAGATATGACAGTTGTTATGCAATATTAGTTTTATTTAGTTATATAATATGATACAGTTTCCGGTAGTCTAGGCCTCGTCCCGCGCACTGCTCTCTGTGGAAACAAAAACACAACGTTACTGCCAGGAAACGTTTGGTGGCCAAACTAATGCCATCTTGGCATGATAAGAATAAGGTTCAAACAAGGGATGACAGGAAAACAGGCAAGTGAATGTTTTAGTATTGCGTTATGTCAGTGTGGACACAGTAGGAGGTACTTCTAAAAAGTGAAATGTGATATATTGCAGACTAAAAGTTTGTGCGATGTTTCGTTAAACGTATTGATAATTCCAGTTTAGTTTGCAGCACGATCAAACCGCTACAGTAGCAGCTGACCAGTGAGGTGGAACCGAGCACTGAACAGCCCGCGGCCGCTAATTTAATCAAACACTTTTTACAAAAGCCACCTCATGCGGCGGTAATCGTTTGCTTAACTTCGAGTCCGGATTTAGCTTGTACTTCGCTGAGTTCGGGCCTTGTTCGGCTGATTACACTGCGAATCGCGATCTTTCAAATAAATTATACTTTGTAAAGTTTTATAGCATTTAATCTTGAGATTTGCTGCCTTTGATGTGGTTCCTCAGTGACCACAATGAGTGAGTTCCCTCGTCTGCGCGTCGAGCGACATGTACCTATACACGAGTACGTCTGAGTGCTGGCCGCTGCTCGGACATCTCACTATCACGCGATCACGTATCACACAAGGAATATATGTATTTCACTACTTTCAAAATACATATCTTCTCACTAGCGAAACAATTGACAAATGAATAAATTGGTTGGATATAGCATTAAAACTTTTACGTGTGTAATTATGACTCTCTTGTGTATGTGTATACGGAGAGATGGCAACTAGGGAGGTGTAACTACATGGACAGAGTGCGACAGAGGAGAAGAAACTAGAAGTACAAGCTGTAGAAGTAACTACGTGGAACAAACAACTACATGACTGAGTGCGACAGAGACAGACGGTGCTAAGAGAGAGACACAAGCTGGTGTGGCTCCGTGCCGGGTTACCGTGGTCATCATCTACCGCGTCGGCGTCCGCCTGCGGCGAGCGCTTGCCCCACATGCCTCTTAGGTTAGTCCAGGCTGGCTCTCGCTTCCAGTAATACGATCCTGTAGGTTCACACATTCACATTCCATATTTGTCTAGCCAGCAAACAGCTACCGAATGTCCTTCAACGCGCCAACAACGCAATCATTCCTCCAATATCAACGAATGGGAATTCGTGTTGAATTGAAATTCATAAAATTAATTTAGCAGTGAACTACAGTCATAGATACACACGAATGAATATTTTTCATTAAATCGTCCGTCGTTAATACGAAATTATGAATTTTAACGCGTGAAAAACTCGACGCGGTGTCGGGAGTCGTCGGCGGCGGGCATATTGACTTGGGGGCTATTTAATTTAAAAAGGCGAGCGAGGATTATTATCTAATTCTGTCGGCGGCTCGCACAAATTCCAACTCGGCTACAAATTTATTAGGGGCTTGTGGGGCGCAGTTTAAATTACACACGGAATGAACGAGCAGTTTATTAACGCGACACCGATGCCGAGCAGTGTCGTCTGTCGCTGTAGGGGCTCAGCGCAGAGAGTCAGGGCTCGACTCGGAAGTTTGGCGGCGCGCGATAACAATGCGAGCTCCTTGCTAACTCTACAGCGAAATAAGAATCAATAAAGTTGCTATCGTTGGCTAACTCCACTTGTTAATGTTGACGCGTCGCGACGCCGTCCACCAGCAGATAAGCTGCTTCCAGCAATTGTAGATGTTAATCAATCAACTTAACGCGCGCCCCATCATTCAGAGCGAGGCGAGGCTGCGACTCAATTACCCGTCTGTTATTGTTTCGGCAATGAATTTAAATAGAGGCTACGATTTATTGGCAAACTTTTATGAGCTGTCGTAATTCCATCTGCGCTGCCAAACAATAATATAATCAGTCTGATTGATTGTTGTAGCCTCGGTGTACATTTACATATGTATAGGCTGCTATATGTTGGGCTAGTGCTGGCTGGACGGCGTGGAAGGCTAGTGTATAAGCAAGGTGTGCCACGTACCGCTGTTGTACTGAGCCTGCTTGACAGGTCGCTTGCCCCACGCGCCGTGCAGTGCTGACCACGCCTTCTTCTCGGGTGCTTCCATTCGCTCGCTCTCCGACAGCTGCACAACATACAACTACATTAAACCCTGCACTGAGCACCGTCACACGCGACCGACCTCTGTCCACTCAACACATACAGGTCCACCGAGTGTGTGCGTGCTAAGTTCCAGCACTCCGGTCGTGTGACGGCAGGTACACGGTGAAATTATTCCTGCATAACATTTACATCTGAATCTCGGAAAAGTCTATAAACTATGCTAATGCGGTAAACTTCCTTAACTTTGCAGATCTGTTTCGGAGAGTTTTACGAGATGTTGAATATATTTTTGTGCAATACTAATCAGCTGACGGATGAAGTTTAACAAACATTTTACGAAAGTGGCAAGTTGGATAAAAGATTCAAAATGATAATGAAACGATAAGCCATCGGCAGGATGGTGAGAAGGACTGAGTGGGCGGAGGAGGTACCTGTTGAATGGGAATCAGTTGTTCGATAGCCGCGTCAATCTCTTCGTAGTCAGGCTCCGCGGTGCGCTTGCCCCAGGATCCGTGGAAGTTGGCCCACTTTTCCTGAGCATAGTAAAGTTGTACGTTATATATAAAGCGGTCTCTAATGAGTCAAGCAGAGTCCAGATTAAACTGGTTTATACTCACAGGTCCTCGCTTGCCCCAGGCAGAGCTCATGTCGTTCCAGCCTCGCTTGCCCCACGCCGAGCTCATGTCATTCCAGGCTCGCTTGCCCCAGGCAGAGCTCATGTCGTTCCAGCCTCGCTTGCCCCATGCCGAGCTCATGTCATTCCAGCCCCGCTTGCCCCAGGCAGAGCTCATGTCTTGCCAGCCACGTTTGCCCCAAGGAGACTGTGACATGTCCCTCCACGCGCGTTTGCCCCAAGCGGAGTTGAGGTCTTGCCAAGCTCGCTTGCCCCAAGCCGAGCTCATGTCGTTCCAGCCCCGCTTGCCCCAGGCAGAGTTGAGGTCCTGCCACGCACGCTTGCCCCAGGCGGAGCTCATGTCCTGCCAGCCCCGCTTGCCCCAGCCGCCGCCGCCATGCAGGCTGGACCAGGCGCGCTTCTCCTCTTCGCTTAATTCTATTTCGTTGTCAGTCTGTGAACAAGCAGGTGTATGTACAGGTGGTTGCGGAATAAACTGCTTCGAACAGTTTCCTTTCAGCGCAAAGAGCACTCGTTGAAAGATTTCAAAAGTACAATGAGGCAAGCAATTGTATTAGCTCTTTGTTTATTCACAGCGTGTTTTCGTTGTATCGGGTGGAACAAAGCTCGCTCGAGGGAATTGTTCGGTGAAAAAACTTGTCGGCAACATTAATGACGCGCGACTGAGCCACAAGTTGTTTTATTATTCTATTAACGCGTTTGTCGCCGCGCGGAATGTTGATGCTGTTGTTGGCGAGATAGAGCGCACGCACTTTAAATGACCACATTTTTCTGAGTAAAGTCGTGTACTTAGTTACTGTGATAACTAACGTATCAAGCATTTTATCTAAATAAGGTCCGCCGGTGGCTCACGACAACACCGGCCTAAACAGACTCTCAACGAATGCCGTTCAGTTTCTTGGTGTATTTTGGTCACAGCCATAACGTGTATCGATGGAGCACGGAGCAAGTATTCAGTTACTTCAATATTTTAACTAATAGACAAAAGTAGAGGCTATTTGTTTGACATATTTAGAGTCACTTCCGATGTCACAAGTTCCCGAGCGCGGCATTACAGGCCATTTGTTCTTGTTTTTACAGAGGCCGGTAACGATGTCGACACGGGAACGGAACGAGCTGGAGCCGGCCACGATACTCGACTTGGTTATGCTATTAGAAGAAGACTAGTCTGTGAGTGTCCGGTTAGACTAGTCTGTGGAAATTAAACATATTTCTTACTTGATCTAGTTGTACTTGTAATTGAATGTTGAATCATATTTTTTATTGCTATCGCCCCGGTTAGCTGTTACTGATTGCTGTGTACGTGTGGTGTGGTGTGGTGTGTGTGGTACGTACCTGTGGCGGTGCTGGCTCGTGGTGGGCGTCGTCTGCCGCCGCCACCGCGAGGGTGGTCAGTGCGGACAGCCACAGAGCGGCCACGCAGTAACGCATCTGCCAACAAACAAACACATGTGTTAAAGTGTCACTCTACAAGATGCGAGCCAGTTTGCCATTTATTATCAATGAACATGTTATCTTACAACTGCAGATCATTATCAAGAATCTATAAAGCAATATAACATTTCCAATTTAAAACCATTTCGGGAACTCTAAACTTAAGATCACAGCGTGGCATCTGCAACAGTCCACCAAATGTAACGTGCTGCATTTAATTAGTTCGCAGACATCTGAGGTAAGACCGTAGTTAACGTATGGCAGAGTTTGTACAGTTCGTGCCTGTACTGTCCACTACGTGTATGTAAGTATGGTGGTCCCGCAGCTTAACTCCTGTCATTATTCCTCAGCGCGGTGGACTGTCCACACAAGATATACAACAACATTGTATGCACCAAACTGTATGAAGCCTTGAACAGTAGTAGTCTGCCGACGTTGGTATTTAAGTGCGGCACATTAGAGCCGGAGATTGTCCCGCATAGTTTGTGTCTTAAACTTTGTACCAGCTACACAGGTGAGACTTTAGATAGCGTGTCTAAGAGATTGTTGACATTATAAGATGAGGTGGAGTGACGCGCGGCGTAGTAGTGCGGCTGCTCTATAAATGGTGAGTGTCCGCTGGAGTAAAGGTGTGTGCAAATGTCAGGGTGGGCGCGATGGGTCAGCGCCGACACGCGGTTATTTACGTGCACTTTGATGTGGGTAAATAGCACCGAGACGCCCGGGTTCACACCCGGCGCGGGCCTTTTGTCAACAAACTACGTTCAATTTATTAATTACACGATTCTTTACAAGTTCGCGGATACCAGCACAAGTATAGTGCAGGGCCTTATTAGTTTCATCGTTGTGTACCACAACCCCCGCTGTTGCTGTACAAAGGAGATGCAAGCTGCACAGCTTAGTGAAGTTTTATTTGTTTTATTGTAAACAAGCAGCTTGCCGCTCGTAGCCCGAGGTATGCACAAAGCGCATAGTTGTGCAGTAGCGGCCGTAAGTAGCCGCGAGTAACTCGGCCAGGAGCACTAACTCTACCACAAGTTACGGCCATAGTTCGCTACTGATGTTTCCTGGTCAAGTATTGTTAAGTAATAGATACATAATTACTCAGTGCTTCTGTTTGTACATACATACGTATGTGGGAAGTAAGTTGACGATGAAGTTATTTGATGCTTTAAGTTCCAGCACATAAATAGGTAACCTTTGCAACCTGGGAACATTTGTGATGAAACATGATCATATAATTAGACTTGTGACGAGTTGTACGAGATGTACAGACATACAGAACATTGTGAACACGTAGATATTAATTGGAATCGTACACGTGTTTCGGAAGTGCCGTGCGAGTGGCCGACATTAAGCATTAGGAATGGCGCGAACATTCGTAGCGACAGATTAGGGATGGCTGCGAATGAGGGCCATTTGTCGTACAAATCGGTCCGGCCAATATACGGCCCGCTAAACCCGCTCGACCGGTGCCGACCCGCCATATGTCACGCTCGACTCCTGCACGCTGCCGGCGATCCGGATCTATTGTTACACATTGCGCCGTGTTTCAGTAATCCGTCTGCTAATGGAAAGGTGGTGTGTTCCCGCCCTAATGACACAAACCCACACTATAATTGTCGCCCCACCACAATGGCGGCGCGCTTTCAAACCCCTTTATACTTTTAATGTCTCTAGTTGCTCCGGAAGTCGTACATATTTAAACACAATTTATTGACTTTGCACAAAGTTAAGAGTCGACTAAACATTAATTTCTGGTAGTTTTCACTTTCCTGGTGTGACAGAGCATATAACACTCCCCTTTGAAGATAAAAATCCGCGCGTGTGATGTAATTACGATCACGTCACAGATTGCGGGAGGCGGCGGCTGATGTGTTAAGTCAACAAATTTGTGAGCGAGTGTCGGCCGCGCCGCGGTGTTTGGCAAGCGAGGCGCGGAGCCGCTGACACGCGACTCTATGTAATCTGGCAACTAAATAAAAATACGTAGCAACCAGTGCCGCCGCGAACACCGACTCGCCTTCTCGTTTTTTATTTCATCCAGAGCAAGGCTAAGCCCGCGACTACCTGTATTCTCAAACGATGAAATGCAACAGTGTAATTGAAAACAAGCCACGCTTCTAGATTTATTTTTAATATTCCTGTAGAGTCGGCTGCAATATTGTCTGCAGTTCTCAGTAAAGGGATGAAAAACTGTTTCTCTGCTATTTTCGTGTTCGCTACAACACTTTGATACAGTTGGACAGTTATAACCCGCGGCGGCAACTTGTACATAATGTTAGCGGCACACGCCACACGCTGTTGCATGTTGCGCGCCACAAGCCGCAACTTGTTGCACAATTTACCTCAGCAATTACTCACTGAACCAGTAGTGAGGTGTCGGGATGAGGGAGGGAGGAGTCTGCTGCCATAATGTTGTTATTGAAGTATATTGAACTGATTTAGTTATAGTATACAAAGTGTAACTCTAGATTATCGCCCAGCATTATCTAGATGTACTCGTATATTGCAATGAGTGAATGTTTGGCGATCTAAAACAAAGTATTTAGTGTGAGTATCTCAGCAAATGACTGCGTCTAATAATGAAACAAAGAAGGTGAACTCGATTACAGCAGCCCGTAGTCCGGTCCGGCGTCCGGCGTCCGGCGGCCGGAGTCGCCGTGTCCGGCTTCGCACTACCGGGTGCAGTGTCTGTTGTGAATCTACTTATTTCCTTTCACTAGTTGTTGTACTGGGACTATTGTATGCCAGACTCTCACAAGTTATACGAACACAATAGTACTGATAATTCGTGTGTCGAGAAACTAGTCATGAACAATTAAAGTTGCATCGACTTTGGTTTTTCATTATTGTATTCTCATGCTAATCCTAAAGGGAATTAAAATGCGTTGCTTGCTATGTTATTATACTACACATTTGACCAGCTATTTTCTAGTTTCAATGTTAGGCTATCCATATGTATTAAAACAAACTTTTTGATATCAAAAGAGGAATGCTTTAAAAATTATTTTCGGTGTCGAGCAATCGTGCCCTTTAGCGACGTGTCGGCGTGTCAAGATGTAATGTCGATGGTCATTGTAATCATTTTATAAATCGAGTCGCATTGGGCGATTTCATCAATTTTAGAAGGTGGAGAGGAGCCGAGGTTCTTGCCCTCGTTGTATATCTTGACTCGACGCATCAATCCCCAAGCGAACGACTAAAACTAGTTCTTCTAATGTGACTTGAATTACCACGATTGAAATTATTATTAATGTTGGTGACCGTGATCGACTTCTGTCTAGAGATATTATTAATCAGTGCAACTAGAGCACATGTCATTAAGTGAATACATACATAGGTATACTTGTATAGGAGGCTGCATGTGTGCAGTCAGGAAATTGAATGATTACATCGATGGCAGCGCTGACGGGGAAACAAACGCTGTCCTCCGCGGCGGGCAGCCGGTGACGCGGTTATAATGAAGCCTAAGAGATACTGTCTCATGATATATTATTTCTGTACATTTGCAGTCGTGGTGGCCCGGAGGTTAAGGCGCTCACTTCTCACGCTTGAGGGTGCAGATTAGACTCCCGGCAAGGATCAATGTGACTGTTTCCGAGTCCGAGAATATATGTACCTACTTTCTACGATTATTTTGACACCACTAACATACGGTGAAGGAAAACATCATGAGGAAACCTGGACTTATAATGTCTAATTAAAACTTTGAAATCGCCAATCCGCCAAGAGCAAGCGTGGTGATTAATGCTCAAACCTTCTTTGTGTGAGAAGAGGCCTTTGCACAACACTGTCCTGAGGATGTGAGCAAATATCACAACAAAATCTGAACAAATGACTAAGGAACTTGTGGAGTTTTCATTTGTTTTAATTTTTCAGTGTCCGGTACCCACCCACACACAAGACGCCGTAAAACACTTTTAATTACCGAACATCCGAATAAAGTTGTTGGGTAATGTAATCCGAACATTAACTGGAATCGTTCCAACAACTAACTGTAGGTTTATGTTAAAAGCTTCCGCGACAACTTTAATTTACAGTTAGTTAACAATGAGTTTGTTTGAGTAATGGCGGCGGGATGAGTCGGCCAATGCTGGGGACATGAGCTGCATCCACCGGGTGCACCTTGGTTAAATACATTTATACAATTTGAGGATTAGAGGTCTTTATATAATTACTGCAACAGGATCCAAGTTGTCCACGCGGGTGATATGTTGTAGCCATTTGTTTATTATAATGTGTGTGTATTTATAGTGAGAAGTAAACGTGATAAGGATTATATTCTTATCTAGTTTATTTATATGATAGGACGGCAATGGACGGATTACCTGATGGTAGGCAATCAGTGCCACCCTTGAATACCCGTAACAACAGAGAAGTTACGAGTACGTTTTCGACCTTTTGGAGATTAGGGTTTTGGGGATTTAGGGCCCCATGCTATAACCTCTTACACATGGCGAAACACAACGCTGTGGTTGTTTCACGCCGGTTTTCTGTGAGGCCGTGGTATCATTCCTGTCCAGCCAGCCCATTCCTGTCTAAACATGGCTCTCCAAGATTTGAATTGGAGATGAGTATGAAAACACAAAATGAAAACGTAAATTATTTTGTATTCAATGCTACTCGTATTTTATTAGATTGGAGATGGGTTCATATATGTGTGGGAGATGGATTGAAAGTCACATGTAGATACTAACACGAGTCTCGTCTGTCAGCAGTCTGCCCAATGTCGCATCACAAGTGGTCGCACCGACATATTGTTACTTGACCGATTCATACAACGGAAACATGAAGAACAATCAAAATTCTTTCAGATATTTATTCCTACTTATAGAAGATGACCTAATGATATTGAACATTTCAGACGATCGGAAGTTAGGGATTTAGATTTACTAACACATCAAGTAAGCACAAGCTGCCAGATTGACATGTTACGTTGATGTTTGTATAAGAATCTAGTAAAGTTTCAATGTGTCGAATGTGTTTATTGGTGA